ACTCAGGTACGGCCGTGGGGCACATTGTTAGAAACAAAATTAGTCTTAAAGTGAGTCTTAACATTAACCTTTTTTATTTATTATTTATTTATTTAACTTTATTTATCTCGTCGACCGTTTAAAGAAACATAGTTGAGTTTCTCATACGCAGTGTATAGAGTCACGGTTCATGAGAAAAAGACTAAGTTGAGACAAATGTTAAGACTAATTTTGTTTCTGACAACGGTATCGTCTTCCACCCTCTCTGGCAACTGAGCAGGGATGCTTTTGCTGTTCACGCATGCTGCCATTTGTGCCACGAAGTAACAATGAATCGATAAACAAATAAACTAGATGAACGAATGAACGTACGTTGGTAGCACAGCAGTTGTAGTAAGGCATGTTGCAGCTCGTGTGTGTTATTGCAGGAATGCAGCGTCACAGAGTCTCTCCCAGCTGCAGCTGCTGTCTCACAACCAGTCGATCGACCCCAGACTTCACCAGCAACAGCAACATCAGCAGCAACAGCAGCAACAGCAGCAGCAGTCGATCTCATGCTCAGCCTCCCTCGACCTGCTGCTGAGAGTGCAGCGCCTCCTGGTGTCCAAGCTTCTGCGAAGATGGCGCCGCCGACGTCGCTACGTTTTGCGAACACGGGTGAGGAGTCGTGTTTGTGCCCACACGGAGAGCCACAGACTATAACGGACTAAAACAGCAGCTAATTACAGTCCGTTTTGCAAAATACATTGGCCTCCACGGTGCGTAACTAAGACTTGCTAACGGACTGCCTAATATCTAATCGAACGTCCGTGTATATTACGTTATGTTGCATGGGGTTTAACGCAAGTGTGATAGACCTATTTGCTTTAATGCGATAACACTGTGTGATCCGTATTCCGTATGACAGGTGTACCTATCCTAGCCTCGTCGGATGATGGCTTCACGCGTCATTTGAAGGTCTTACTTACTTAATGAGATGCTCTTCTTTACCTTACGTAACTGTGAGTGAACTGTGATGTTTACCTTACAGATGCTGACTTGCTGGGTGCTGGGTCTCTACTGAGGAAGTACGTTGTTCTAGTCTGCATGCATGTGTCAGACGTACTACCCGTCGCTGCCAGTCTAGCAGCAGCCAACCCTAAGCTGTTCTCCACCCTGGCCACCATCATGCAGGCTGATATATCAGGTAGGCATGCGTGCGTGCGTGCGTGCGTGGTGCTGGGTGTGTGCGTTCGCGTGCTTGCCGGTGGTGCGTGCTTGCGTAGCGTGCGTGCCGTGCGTGTGCGTGTGCAGTGCCGCTTGCGTGGGCGTGCTGTGGTGCGATGCGTCTGCGTGCGTGCGTTGTGCGTGCGTGCGTGCCGTGCCGTGCGTGGTGGATCAGTCGGTGCCTGTGCGTGGCGTGCGTGCGTGCGGTCGTGCAGGTGTGCGCGTGCGTGCGGCTGCGTGCGCTGCTGTGGTGCGTTGCCCGTTTGCGGGCCGTGCATGCGTAGTGGTGCACGGTGATGCTGGTGGCTTGTCGTTACTATAATGCGGCGCGCGTGCGTGCGTGCGTGCGCTGCGTGCGTCGCGTGCATGCATGCTAAGGGTCGCGTCGCGTGCGTGCAGTGCGTGCTTGTAGCGTCGCGAGCAATACGTGGGTTAGTCGGTGCGTTGCGTTTGGTGATGTATGTCGTTGCAATGATTGCATCATCAGTGTGTTTGTATCACCAATTTATGTAGCAGTAACTACCGATGATCTTATCATATATCGTATCGAATCGTATTGATGTTCCAAATAAAGGCGTTGTTTTTAAGCTGTCCCTGAGGAATGGGACGTACTATCGGCACTTCACAGTGAAATTATGTATGCTTAATTTTAACAGGTTTTCAAATCTCATCATAGTTACTGATGTATGTGTACGTGCGTGTATGTGTGTGTGCATGCGTCTGTGCGTTCGTGCATGCTTATACACATGCAGAATCCCACAATCTCGCCCGCCATTTACGCGAGCACATTTTCCTATCATCGACTTTGACACGTCGCCGTGGTTACCTGTGCAGGCGTGCTGCTGCCGGAGCTCGTTAGCAGTCTGCTGCTGCTGCTCTACAAGGCTCCGTCGGTGATACAGTCGAGCAAGGCGGTGCTGATGCTGGGGTGCATGCTGGACGTTCTCGACAAGTTCAACCGCCTGGCTCCCGGCGTGGAGCGGGAGGATGTGGAAGACCTCGCGTGGCCCGGAATATTCAGTGAGTGTGTGATATGATGGGGGTTGTCGTGACGATGAAGTTTGGGTGGGTTTAAATTGCTGAAGCTTAGTGCTCTTCATCCTTGTACCCATCCTCATTCTCATCCCCCATCTTCATCTCTATCCTCCTCATTATCATCACCCTTATTTCCATCCTCATCCTCATCCTCCTCATCCTCATCCTCATCCGTATTTCCATCCTCATCCTCATCCTCCTCCTCATCCTCATTTCCATCCTCATCCTTATCCTCATCCTCCGTCAATCAACGTTAAACTGCAAATTTGAATGTTGTAAATTTGATTACGTTTTATCACTAACTTGAACGATTAAAATATATTTTGAACGTTGCACAGACATGGATGTGTACAACCCGACTAAGGCTAAGGCACCTGAGGGCATCTGTCAGGTGCGTCACTGCGACCTCGTTAACAACAACAGGGATGGAGGACTGTGGGTGGTGCTGCACGGCAACGTCTACGACATGCTGCAGTTCAAACTGGACGCGCCGTGTGGGGAAGAAACCCTTGACGACATGGCAGGTGAGATACTCCCACCTGTCCCACGCAGCAACTAGCGGTCGCATAGTCGTGTTTTCGAATGATTTTTCAGTGCTGCGGTTATGTTGATTGCTTTACTTTTAATTGTGGAATGCTTTTTTTATTGGCGACATTCTCTATTAGTCCCGTAGCTTGGTTGTACGTGTGCAGGGTGCAGGTCGTACGTGTTGGGTGTTGCTGCATCACATCCAGTAATGTACATGTGTATCGTTGCTTGTACGTGTGCAGGTGGCAGCGGCCCTGTGCGCTGGGTGGCACTCCCAGGTCGGTCCCCTACATGAATGACCCCGCGTGGGATGTTACATGTATGTGTGGTAGGTGCGGGCTGTAACGTGTGTGCATACATGAATGACTGTGTAGCGCTTTGATGTCACGCTCGTGTAAGTGGCAGGCTGTGTGTGGGTGGCATACATGAATGACCGTGGGATGTCTGATGTAGCGTCTGTAGGTGCATTTCCGCGGCTGTGTGTGGGCTGCAAAACATGAATGACGCAGTGGATGTTTGATGTACGTGGTGTGGTGCAAGGCTGTGCGTGGTGCATACATTGAAGTGACGCGTGGAGTTTGTATGTACGTGTGGCAGGTGGGCACATAAGGGGCTGTGCGTGGGTGGCACTACGATGAAATGTGACCGGTGATTGTTTGATGTACGTGTGCAGGTGCAGGGTGTGTACCGTGTGTGTCATACATGATGCACGCGTGGGTGGATTGTTTGACTATGCTGTGTGCTTACATTGATAATGACCGGTGGATGTTTTGATGTTATGTTGGTGTGCATACATTGAATGAACCAGTAGATGTTTGATGTACTGTTTGTGTGGCAGGTGCAGGGCTGTGCGTCACACCGGTAGAA